TAGGCACACTTATCTAGTCTTTATTAGGCATACATAACTCATTTTCTTTCTATACAATACATGGAACTTATAATGATCTCTGATCAACGCTCAAACAGGCATGGAAGCTTTACAAGGAAGATAGGTCCTTGGAACTAATTGATGAACAACTAGCTGGTTCTTGCCATATTTCTCAAGTTTTAAGGTCAATCCAAGTCGGTCTATTATGCGTGCAACAATGTCCAGAAGATAGACCAGACATGTCTTCTGTCATTATGATGTTGGGTAACAGTCATGGAAGTCGACTGCCAGAAGCTAAAGAACCAGGATTTTTCCCAGAAAGAGAGGTACTTGATGCAGACAAATCAGGATCACAGAATGAACTCACAATCACATCTCTATATCCTCGGTAGAGTGAAAAAAAAATACAACTATTTTGACTTGTGTTCACATGAGTAGTAATTTTAGAAAGGAAGAAAAAACTTCGAACTTCTGATTCTTGGAAAATACAGCAATAGCTAAATAACACATTACACAGCAAGTTACATATTATCTACTTATGGATGAACTTTTATCCTTCCTTTGCATATAAACTTTAGATATGTTTTCAATAACAAACTTTTATAAATGTTACTTAATGTGTTCTCCAGAACTAATTAGCACTTTACTCATCTCAAACCAAACGCACGAGACACAACATAGAATGTTAGAAATAATATATAGATGAATAACAGAGAAATTAAGGCTGAGGCGAGAAAGACGAATAGGTCACTATTTTCAAAGAGTTGTTGTTTCTATATTCTTTGGGGTTTTAAGCAATTCTCTATCACGATACAATCCGGACTACAATGTTAGCAATTCATACGGGCATACTTATTGAGTTTATCAACACATGAATTTCAGCCATAAAATTGGGAGAGAGAAAATTAGAATGAATAATAACACATCAGCCTTGGATTTTAGCCGTAAAATGGAAGAATTTTGTGGCAAATTTGAAAGAACAAAAGTGGTCCAAGGACTTCAGCACAACAATAGTGTTGACACCTAATTTTGACCCTCTGCGATAAAAATTAATTTGTGAGCTTCCTTAATCCCAAACGATTTGAAATAACTAATTTTATAAAAAATTCAAAATATGTTTCAAGATATTTTAAGAATTTTATTCACTTTTATAATATTTTAAATAATAAATATGTTTTATATTGTTACGTATGTAACTAATATATTTTATAAATACTTGAAAACTATCTTGAAAAAGATTTCATTATTATTATCGATATTATTATTATTATTTTAACGTAAACACTTTATTAATCTAATTTAATTTGAATTATAGATATGTTGTTGAATTAGTTATTTTTATTAAGTTAATTATTTTATTCCGTTAAAATTAAGAAGCTCGCCAATTAATTTTTATTAGTTCACCTTATATAGGTTTTAGCTGAATCCGTTAATTCAACTCAATTTAGCTATTACTTAAATTCTGAAATCTAACCAATATAATTTTTTACTCTATACCCATTCTTAAATGACCAAATTTTGGGATTTTATGTGGCATCTACAGCAAACCTTCCAGCCCATATGTTAAACCCAAATTCCCAACCAACCCAATACTTTAATTCGATTCCCAGCCCAACCCAAGCTCCAGCCCACACTCTTATTACTCCTAAACTGACCCATTCCTCTTCTTACTTGACCCGGCCCAGCCTAATTCCTTCATTAACTAAGAAACCCATTTCAACAATGTGCACATACAGCAAACAGTACCCACCGCGCTTCTTCTTCTTCCTCCAGCGATCCGGAGAGAACAAACCCAATTCGCAATCCAACACACAGAAAGCAACCCGAGTCCAGCAAGCAGCAGCAACAGAGAGACGTACGCTGCAAATTTTTGTTTCTTCTCCAACGTCCCTATCCCCATTAACATCGCAGCAGGCACGCGCTCTGTTCTGCTTTCCGCTTTCGGAATGAGTCAAAACCCCAAGGAAAAGGTGTTTGTCCGAATTGGTGAAGGAATTCAATTTTTGAATTTGGAATTTCTATCTGTTACTCCCCACATTCCGAACCCGAATCCTTGTCCATAAGTACCCTTTCCTCACTCACGGTAAGGGGGAGAAATTTTCTTTTAAGGAGAAGTCAGATAGAATTTTTTTTTTAAAAAAAAAAGCTGAAAAAGTTCCCCAGAAACATACACTTCAGATATATATTTTTCTTTCTTCCCGATTCTTTGTGGGTTGCAAAAAGATTAATTGGATTTCTCGAAAGTTCTCGTTGCGGTGTTAAGTTCGATATTCCTCTACTCGTGACTCAGTTCACGACCCGGAGAAAGGTAAATTCCCCCTTAGCTTTCGTTTAATTCCTAGTTCTTTTTTTTATGTTTTTATTTTATTTTGTGTGTTTTCAACTTTGTTTTAGTTTTCATGTGTTAAGACTTTGTTTCGATATTTAAATGACTTTTCCGGTGTTCATGTTCTTGTTACTCGTCTGATTTTGGTCTAAAGAGTAATGTTTCCTCTTGGTTTTAGTCTTGCGTTCGTCCTCATAAGCAATAAGCATCTAGATCCGTGTTTACACTACCGATTCATAAAAATATCAGATATATATTAGTTCAGTGCCTCTGTTAAAGGTTGTTGTTTTGATAAGTTTATTTTTCTCTAATGTTCTCTTTGGACTGATGGTTTCATTATTCATATTTCCTCACAGTTGATATTTGTTCAAGTATTAATTTGCTAATAACATGTTTGGTATGATTTCGAGTTCACTTTAGTAATTGTTGTGCCGAAATGAGTTCTAAATGTACGAACCTTCTTAGTTTTTGAGTCGAAAATGCGGTGTATTCAACTTAAGGCAAATTTAGTTCGTGATTGTTGCATTTAAATTTCGGCCGCCCATTATGTCTTCTTAAATTGATTTTAGACCTAGCATAGTTTTGGGTTTAATGGTTTAATGCCTTTAGCGTATGTGTGATAGCATATTGGCTTTGGCTTTTGTGATCTCTCCAAGTGTTTCGAGTCAAATGGGAGCAAAAATCGGGTTTAATATTCAAGTATTTTTTTTTCTGCTTGTAACCTCTGTTTTGAAGCAAAGAGAAAAAAAAATCAAGTTAGGCCTAATTGCTTTTCAATAAAGTGTAGGAAAGCTAAGTTGTGTTGTTAGATTTTTTTTTTTTTTTTACTTGGGAATGAAAATTTTATTGTGAGTAGTCTACTGTCAGCATACATAGTTATTCATTTGAGCAAAAGATGATAATTGTGCATTATTTCAGTAGCTATTGTTGGGAATGCCTCTCCGTTTGTTGTTGTTTACTGTATGGTCTGGGCATTCAATTGAATTTGGTCATATTCAAGCATGTTAGGTTGAGTGTGTTATCCAATATGCCTCCATTTGTTGGTTATTGATATTTATGTGAGGAGTGCGTATGTGAAATGCCTTTCTTAGTTAATAGGAAGTGATGTTGCATTGTTGATTAAATTTGATAAAATATGGTTCTTATTGTTGTGTGTGCACTTCTTCTTTTTTGAATTTTTTTTTACTTTCTTTGAAATCTATACACTAGCAGTAGTTTTCTTCTTTTCTTTTCTTTTTTTTTTTAAAAAAAGCATCTACCTTGCCTCTCAGATTAAAATCATGTCTTAGCTATTTCCTTATTTCGTATGCTAATGTCGTCTTCTCTTTCACGTGATATATGAACTCCTTTGAGTCCATGATGGACTTTCTTCCTTGCATTTCCGAGTCGAGCCATAAAGGCTCTATGATATCATTCGAGTCAGCCTCATTATCAGGTCAGCGAAACAGGCGCACAGGTTGAAAGCAACAAGATAACGTTGAAAATTAAATTTTCAAGCTCTGAAAGAGTCAAAAATAGGCTGATATACCTGTTGTATACACCAATATACAGTCAGAAAATATCACGTACAGGGCAAAAACGTGAAAATGCAGGCGAAAAATGCAGGGATGTATAGTTAAAACAAAATTACAGTTTCGGGAGTTCGAGAGTTGACGGTATACATGGTGTATACATCGTATATACACTTGGTGTATATCATCTGGGAATGGAAAAATGGGTCAAAGGGCAATCTAATTGGATTTGGGCCAAAGCCCAAGTCTAATTATCTCCTCTCCCTCTCTTATTATTTATATTGTATTATTTGACTAACTTCGTTCATTATATGGTTTAATTTAATTAAATTCCTGTAGATAGCCATTTTATTTTTTTTATCTTATTCAAATTAAAATATCTATGTTTTATACTTAGCTCTATTTTATTTAGTCTTGTCACTTAAATTTATCCCCTTTTAAAAAAATCCCCTTTTAGTTCATTTCCCCTTAAAATATTTCAAATAATAAAAAATAATAATAATAATAAAATAACAATGATAAAAAAATAAAAAAGTAATAACAATAGTAAGAAATAAATAAGTTAAAGTAAATGAGTTCCTTTACTTAGTTGAAGTTGTCAAAATTAGTTAAAGTAAATAAGCTCTTTTACTTAGTTAAAGTTTTTTTTTTTTCTCTCAAAAATTAGTTAAAATAAAAATGAGTTTTCTTTACTTAGTTAAAATTTTAAAATTAGTCAAAATCATTTTTAGTCAAATCGCCGGTCAACCGCAAGTTAGCGGGCATTCTGAGGGCCTAACACCTTCTCGGAATGTACATTGAACTTCAGACCCTATTTATTTTTCAATTGATTTTATCTATTTAAATCTTTTTGAAAACTTAAGTTCTTTTTCTTTATTTTTACTAAAAAAAATTAAGTGGCGACTCTGATCTTTTGAAAATTCGATTTCTCTTAAATCATAAGTTTAATCGATTTTTTTCGAAAACTAAGTCATTTTCTTTTATCTATATTTTCCTAATAAAACAAATAGTACGTAATTTGGCCAAAAGTAAAATCCGGCATACATTTAAGTTACCAAAAAATAGTATAAACATCTCAAAATGTTTAAAGATGTTGTACAGACAATCTCGAGAAACATAAGCCATGACTGTCATGAAAAATTATGCAACTTGATTATGTCTCATTGAGCTAATATGAATTTCTCATTCAGGATTAGTATTAAAAAAACATTCATTATGGTAAAAGAACACCATTAATGGACTAACCTCAGTATCAATCTATTAAGAAATGAATCTATTGCATCTCTTCTTGTGATGCTGTCAAAGATAACCAGAAAAAGAAAAAAAGGCAAAAGGAGAAGAAAAGCGGGAAGGGAAATCTTAGTAGCTCAGTTGGTTGGCTACGTGAACTCTCACCTTGTTGGTGAGGGTTTGATTCCTCACCTTGTAATCCCCTTCCCCGGCCCCAATTTTAAGAAGAAGAAAAAACTGGACGGTCACTTTCGTCAAGGCTGTCTGCAGAGTAAAATTGGATGGACGACTGTAGATATAACAATGATACACATTCACAGATCAGAGGCAGGCTTCAATTGTTGATGCTGACCATCTACCATGCTCAACTGTCTTCTCAATCTTGCGATATGACCTTGCACCTGCTGCCGAGCTGCTGTAAGTTTTAACAATTCGTCTGCTTCGGAAAAATTTGTGAACAATTGACTTAGAGGATGATCTTTGGTGTCACCACGTTTCCTTCGATCAACATCTTCTATAGGTACAGGAGGAGGCAAATTTAGGCCAGGAGGTAGTCTAGGCACATTGACTGCTGGATGGTTCTGTACACGGGCAAAAAAAGATTCTGAAGGCTCCGCAAACACAATTTCATCATATGACTCTACTACAACAGGTTTTTTAGTGGATAGAGCCCCAGATTCGTCCTCTGGATATAGTTTCAAATGGTGATATAAGTGTAATGGCTTATCACAAACATCAGTGTGGAAATGAAGGGTCATCACAATTTCAAATTCACCCCATCCAGATTCTGTTAACTCAAAAGGAGGGTTGTCCACAACCCTTGTAGGATTGTTAAAACTTGAGTGCAATTGAAAAACAACACGTTTCACCACCACACCCAGATCCTCATTAGTTGCACCACGAACATAAATAGTCCATTTATGAGACTGGAACTCGCTCGCCTTCTTACCAAGCCAAAATGCAACATTTCCATACACTATTGGAACGCCAACTTCAAGCTCTTTCAGCTTCTTACCAGAACTCTTTTTTTCACTGTCATCGGAAGTATTCACCATTTTGGTACGCTGTGATTTTAGGGTGGATCCGGTAATGTCCGCCGGATCTTGATCGTGCGTCTTTGTTGATGAGCTTTGAGGCATTCTACGGGTATTCTCTGATTGGTCAAAATTAGGATCTCTGATAGACAATCAGAGTAGGAATATTTCACTGTTTGATTTTGATTCTTTCACCATGTAACTGTAAAGAAAATCATGGGAGTAAACAATAAATTAAATGACTGTTATATGTGGAAAGTGATTAGTGTTTAAGAAAACCTTACCAGTAGATATCTTTTTAGATACCCTAATAGTATAATAAAAAAGGGACTGACGGTATATAAAACTTTAACTCAAGTTATAGAGTTCAAATAATCGTATATATTGGAGTATATACTCTTAAAAAAGGATATTGTACTGCCACATATACTAAGGGTTTTTAAGCTGATAAAAAAGTAAAGGAAAAACTGAAGATATTTCCCTCAAAGAGAACTGTTTATGCCATTTGATCCATGTGCAATCCAAAGTTAACTCGGTGCCAAATCACCAGGAGTTTATCCACAATATAATATATGGATTCATGAAAACCCAATAGCTTTTGTCTAGCCCCTATATATATGTATATATATTAAGAAATCTATTAAATAAAGGTCATAAAAAAAGAACTCTATTAAATTTAATGATGAACTCAGTTATGACTGTATATTAAGTTGAGGTGGTTGTACTTATACGTGGAAACTCATAAACTCAATCTTGAATATGCTCCTGCAAATCATTCTCCCAAGAGAGAAGCTCATCACTGTAATGAGCAGTTTGATGACTTCCAAAGCATGAATTTAAGAGTGCGGTTGGACATGGTCCTCGATATATAACTTCAACGGTCCTTGTGTGACCAACTATCACATAGAAATAGTATAAAACCTTTGACAATTTCTTCTCCTCTTTAAGAAGTGCATACAGCTACTTAGTTAGAACACCAGAAAAGGACTTAAAGCACATTTATTAATCTGACAATTGGGTTTCCTCAATATCTAAATCCTGGCCAAGTTGTCTTAGATATTACTCTATGTGAGACTTGGGGTCACCACGAGATAACTTGGTATCATATGGGAGGGGGTGTTTGTCCTTGATCATTCACACCTAATACAAAGGCTCAGGCATCACAGATGAAAGCTAGTTTCTTCCTACTTTTTCAACTGACTTTCTACTCTTCTGTGCTCAAGATTTCTACTACAGCAGATATAATCACTACAAATCACTCCGTCACAAATGGTGAAACTATTGTTTCCTCCGGCAGAACCTTTGAAATGGGATTTTTCAGTCCCAGTGGTTACTTAAAGCGACATACTGGGATATGGTAAAAGCAAATTCTTGCTATGCTGACCGTTAAGTCAACAGAGGAAAACCACTCATAAATACATCTTCAAGCCGGGAATACTTGCTCTTCTCAATGACAAGAATGCAATTATATGGTCCACTAACACCTCACGATCAGTCCAAAATCCAGTTGCACTACTTTTAGATTCTGGTAATCTTCCTGCAATGGATGCAAATGATGCCAACCCAGAAAAATTCCTCTAAGCAGAACTTCAATATTCCAACTGATATGTTCTTGTCTAAAATGAAGCATGTCAAGAATTTTCAAACTGGCAAGGAGGTTAACCTTTCAGCATAGAAGAACGACAGTGATTCAACTCCAGGGGAATGCACTCTACACACTGATCCTTCTGGAATCTGGATATCCACAGGCCCTCATCAAACGTGGCACAAGTGTATTAGGTCGCTCAGGACCATGGAATGGTTTACATTGGAGTGGGGATCACGCACCATCATCAAGCCAAAGCAGCATTTATAAAATTCAGTTTGTTCTCAATAAGGAGGAGGTTTTCTATAATTTTTATTTCATTAGCAGTTTGGTGTTATCAAGGCTAGTCCTGACAAGCAATGGTTATATGCAAAGCCTCATGTACGTGAATCAGACCAAGAGTTGGCTTTGCCTCAGTTTACCTCCTAATACAACATATAGCTTATGTGGTGCCTATGGGAGCTGTGACATAGATCATTCCCCAGTAAAATCTATGTCCTCTTGATATACTGTTCCATTAACTAGGGAGTCCTGGAACTGGAAGAGGGACAAGAAATGTCCATGAAGAGACTCTCAAGGACGTTCATGCAAGGACTGGATTAAGTCAGAATGAAGTTATATCTATATCTCAAAGCTTCAGCCGAGAAATCTTATGAGACTTCTAGGTTGCTGCATTCAAGGGCTAGAAATGATGTTGATCTATGAATATGTGCCTAACAAAAGCCTGGACTTATACATACTATTTGTTTGGATTTCTCACCAACTACACAAGCTAAAGCAATGTATTTAACTTTGCTATATTAGTCATAACATGTACATCTGGACCTAGGCAAGGGCATGTTCACAAAAACAACTGAATCATTAGAAAGGCTTCTTTTGTAGATCAAACAAAGAGCAAATTACTTGATTGGCCAAAGCATTTCGACATCATAAATGGAATTGCTTGTGGCTTATTGTATCTCCATCAAATTTCTCGACTACGAATTATCCATAGAGACCTTAAAGCAAGCTATGTTTTGGATATAGAAATAAATCCAAAGATATCAAACTTTGGCGTGGCTAGAATTTTTTCAGGGAATGAGATGGGAGCAAACACAAGCCAGGTGGTTGGGACACAGTAAGAATCTCTAATATCAAACAAATTACCTCTGTACAACATCTCACTTCTATAATGCAATTGGTGTTTTTGTTTATTTTTCTTTTTCTGACATGGTGGCTACATTCCCCAGAATATGCAGTAGACAGGATCTTCCCCATAAAATCAGATGTGTTTAGCTTTGGCATCTTGGTTTTACAGATTGTGAAGTGCAAGATAAATAGAAGATTTTTCAATCAAAATCAAAGCCCTAACCTTCTCGGACACGTAGCCATTGCTAGGCATACATAACTCATTTTATTGCTGTAAATAGCCACATGAGTATTAGTTCTATAAATAAAACTTTTTTAGAATGAATTTTCTATTTCGGTTGTTCTTTGAACATAAACCTTAGATATGTTTCTTAAAAACAAAACTTTAAAACATGTTTGCTTAATTTGTTCTCTAGAACTAATAGCTATAGGAAAGTTTGTCATGTATTTAGAAACCACAAATCCATATTAATAGTTTAAACTTTTAACTTTGCAACTCCATTCTTAGTTAAAATATATTCGGAAAATGGTACAAAATTGTTAAAAGATTTTAAGCAGCACTTCACTCATCTCAAACCAAATATCAGTCTGCGAGGATAGAGATACGCACACTGTTTCCGATAGACCCTCAGCAACATTTATAACAGAAAATGCTATTTGCGGAACATTAATAAAGTAAACCGGAAATTACATTACCTGTTCTTAGAAGTAAAGGTTTTTTTCCCTGAAAGTCTGCTGGTTGAGTATTCCATCAATACATCGCTTCTCCTGAATAGTACCACAACTGCAATAAAACTCATTAACATATCAGATTTCATTGTTTAACTTATAAACCTATCAGCATTACAATGCTCGCACCTCAATAATCAGATCCATAAAAAAAACAGGGGATTAACAACTCGTACCTCAATATTCAGATCTAATTGCAGCAGCTATTCAGTTTTCCCCATTCCTCTTCTACAACTCTTGCAGCATCGTTCGTAAAGGACTTGCACTGATGAATGGAGAAGTGGAGGCGGAAAGGGTAAGAAATTATTTTCCAGGAAATTTCAACAGAGGGTATGGTCTGTTTGGGTAACCTTTAAGAATTTACTTATTTTGGGAAGTGATCTTGTAAAAGTATTTTTTCTAAATTATTGGACAAGTATTTTTGTTAGTATTAAAAAGGTTAATTTGTTATTTAATAAATCTTTTAAAAGTGTTCTAAAACATCAAATTATAGGGGTATCATTGTATATTATAAATAGTCTATTGGAAACATTCTCTCTACGTTAAATTATAGGAATATCTTGTGCTCACACTTTAGTCACTATCTCTCTTCTTTTTTTTGGTTGATCGCTCACTTTTTACTTGTTTAATTGCTTATAACTTAAATGATTAATTATAAGTAGATATAGAAGGATCTAATAACTCATTTTAGAAGTTCTTGATTTTCCCTATTTGGAACTGCACTCAGTAGTATTCTTGAGTTCTCTACAACCTTTTAATATTTTAAATTCTTCAGGAAATATATTAGATATTAATTAAATTGATGACAATTTTTTATTTTATTTATGAAATTATACTAAATATAATGTTAAAACTCAAGTTATAAAAAAAAACATGTAAAAATTACTTGACAGCTTACCATTAATATTTTATTAGAAATGATTTAATTATTTATATTAAAGACTTAATTAAGTTATCAAATTTTGATTTAAAATGATCTATGTTGTTTGAAATTTGAGATAATGAAGAATCTCCATTGGAAAGTAGGAGAACGGGGACAATGTTCCAATGGTTAATTTTTCCTTTAGAAAAGCCCTTAACTATTAAAAATAGATTAGTTATATCCTTTCTTTGATTTGGGATACTCCGTGATTAAACCGTTAATTAAAAGTCAACAGTCTATTAACTGTGATTTTAATGATAAAAAAACTTATTTCCTGGGAAGGTTAAACCAAGGGATAAGGGTCTGAAAAATGTCTCAACTTTGATCGGATTTGTTGTTGCGATACTAAACTTTCATGAGGACCTATTACCTCCTTAGACTATATAATACCGTATTTTAAACATATATATTTGCCCACGTGGACATAAAAAATAATGCAAAATTATAAATAGTAATGTGTCCACGTGGGCACATATATACCTTTAAAATACACTATTAAATAGTTCAGAGGGTAAAAAATACGGTATTAAATAGTCTAGGGAGGTAATAGGTCCTTATGAAAGTTTAGTATCGCAACAGCAAATCCGACTAAAGTTGGAATATTTTTCAGACTTTTATCCCTTAAACCAATGATGAAAGTCGAGCCATTGTTGTACTAACTTCAAGTGTCCGGGTAACCAATTGTCTCGTGCTCGAATTATATATATATATAGGTATAATACATAAATGTGTTTTTTACTTTGATATTAGTTGACATCTATGCCTTTCAACTTTGAATACATAATTAGACACGTAAACTTGT